CTCCTCCTCCTCCTCCTCCTCCTCCGCCCGTAGCCGTTTTGGCTCAAGTCCGTAGCGTTTCGCTCAGGACTTGGCATTCTGGCGTGGGGGATAATTGCGGCCCCCGACCGCTCTCGCGTCTCCCCAGTGGCCTGCCCAGGCCTGGAGGCGCTGCTTCATACTGTGTGTTGTACGCGAGGTTGCCGCCTGTGGACAGCACGATCCCTTTTTCGCAGAAGTTTACGGAAGGCTCATGGCGCCATCTCTCGGTTCTCATGGCGGAGCACCGCCGTCTGGGCATAAGCAGAGACGCCAGGCATGGGCCGAGCCATGGTTTTGTAAGCATTGCTGGTCGCACCAGACTGGCGACAGGTGGTGGAATAGAGCGGACCTTGATCACTGTTCGCTCTGCAAGCAGCCCAAGGCGTCAGCATTCGCGGGGATCAAGCAACCTGCGGCTCCCTCGGTGTCGGCGACCAAGGCACAGGCGCAGCCAGACCCTAAGCTCACTTCTGAGCTCAAGCGGCTGCGCGAGGAAGTTGCTCAGCTACGGAAGAAGGATGTCGCTCCCAAGCCCGAGATTGATGCCATGGACGTCGACGCGGGCAAGGACAGCGATGCAGAAGCTCGGAAGGAGCTCGGGGACGTCACGGAGAAGCTGCAGAAGGTTGCAGACTTCGTTGGCCCAGAGTTTGATGACTTGCGGGGGAAGTTGCGAGCACGTCAGACCTCCCTTCGGGGTCAGATCACTCGTGGCAAATCTCTGGACACGCGGCTCAAGGAAATGTCCGTTCAGCACACGAAGTTGGTTAAAAAAACGGGAGCGCCAGACCGAGATGGTCGAGGAGCTCAAGCAGGTGGTGGTCGAGGCGCAGCAGGCGGTGGACTACGCCGCCAAGGCGCTACATGCCACGATCAACGAGATCACGGAGATGGAGGCCGAGAGGTGCCAGTTGGTGGCGGGCGCCCCCAAAGCTCCAGCGAAGTCCGACGGCGGCGCCAACGAGCTCAGGCAGCTCATGGCCAGCAACCTCTCGGTCGAGAAGTGCGGCGAGTTGCTCGAGGGTTTCGGCGGCAGCGCGACGCTGGCGCAGAAGTTGTTCGAGTGTCTGTCGGAGGCGAAGGCGGCGGAGGAGCTGCACAGTGCGCAGCAGCGCCGTGCTGCCGAGGAAGCTCGGCAGCGGCAGCAGCTGGAGCAGCAGCAGCAGCAGCAGCATCAGCAGCGCGAGGCTGATCTGGCTGCGCAGGCGGCTGCTGCGGCGCGAGCTGCGCACTGGCAGAACTGGGAGCAGGCCATCCCGTCCGAGGCTGACCCCCCTGGGGTTCTGCGTGAGTTCCTCCGCTCAGTGGACCAGAAGGTGCCAGAAGATGAAAATGAATTGCGAGGGGAAGCCGAGAGGGCTGGAGCGATGCTGGCGCCATTCGCGAAGCGGCTCAAGACGGCCTGGTCAGCTCTGGTCGTTGCAGGGTAGGTTTGCTGTTCTGATTTATTTTATCGGCATCATGACGCGTATTGCTACTGTCAACGCTACATCTTTCAACCCCCTGGCTGAGATGTTTGAGGCAGATGCCCCTGTGCTGGGTGATGAGAAGCCTATCTTGTGTGTTCAGGAACATCGCGTCACAGCAGAGAAGTTGGGAGCGTTTCAAGGCCGCATGGATGCGGTAGGTTACCATGGAGCGTGGGCCCCAGCCAGGGAGCCGGGCCAAGGGCACGGCACCAGTGGTGGCGTGGCGGTGCTTGCGCCCAAGCGAGCGCGGGTGGCGGCAGGTCCCATGCTTGCTGACACCAAGGGCGTGCTGCTGGACGAGAGGATCGTAGCGGCGACAGTCCACACGTGGTTCAAGAGTGACTTCGTGGCGGTTTCGGCGTACCTTCACGTCGACGAGGACATGGGGCAGAAAGAACATGTCGCTGCTCACAACGTTAGCTCAGTACTTGCTTCGCGTGAAAGTGCTTGGATATGAGTGGATTGTCGCAGCTGATTATAACATGGATCGTGCTATGTTGCAGCCGCGGGCGACTTCAATAGGTGGGGTGCTGTTGGCGCCGTCTGCGCCCACATGCATCCAGAGCACGCCAGGTACGACAATTGACTACTTCATCATGTCCGAAGGCTTTGCCATTCGGTCTGGGATGATCGAGGTTGTGGATACGGCTACGCTCTGGCCTCACAGGCCCGTGCTCATGCAGGCTCACGCCAAGGACATTGTGCGGTGGTGCCGTGTTGCGGACCAACCTAAAGCTCTTCCTGTCTTGGCTCGGCCTGGTTGTGGTCGGTATCCTCGTGACTGGCAGAAGTTTCATCAAGACGTTCGGCACGCTGAGAATGCCGAGCAGATGGCTCACTTTTGGGACCTCACCATCCAGGGCATAGAGGCTGAGCTGCTCGACCGACATGATGTTGTTGGGCCTCTCCGTCACGGCTATGAAGGCAGGGCTGGAGAGCATCAGGTTAGATGAAAAAAGCTCCGTGCGGTCCCTCTGCATCGGCAGCCTCGTCCCTCTTGTGAGTATGCAGCGTGGAGTGCCGCGGCCAGGTGGGCCGGGCACTTGCGAAGTGCGCACATTGTGCTCGAGTCGTACATTCCCAATTTGGATTCGGACATCGACGAGCAGCCGAGGAGGATGCAGAGGATCGCCAAGGTGTTGCTCGACATTGCGGCGTTCCTTGGCAGGATCCAGAGGCGCGGCTGGGTGCACGCGCACCTCGAAATCCTGGGTCAGGGATGCCTTTTTGGATGGGGCCAAGGCTGCCAGGGCTCGTGGAATCCAAGTGGTGCTCACCGAAGAGCATCGGATCCAACCTTTCGAGCTTGCCGGCGACGCGTGTCGTGAATGGTCCCACATTTGGACCACTCACTCTTGCGAAGACTTGCAGTTGCCGAGCGGTTCGAAGGATTGGGCGAGTCTGCCGCCGATCGGGGTCGACGATTTGAGGAGAGCGATTTCGAGATTTCCCCCGAAGACGGCGGTGGGCTGTTGCAAGATCCATCCTCGTTCGATTCAGTACCTGTTGGATGCGATGCTCGCTGTTCTAGCGTCGCTTCTGATGCAGTGCGAGAAGGCTCTTGTTTGGCCAAGCAAGCGATTAGTAGGCAGGCTTGTCAGGTTGCCAAAACCAGACGGCGGCCACATATTAATTGCTATCCTAGACACTATCTTACGAGTGTGGGGACGCATTAGACGTTCCGTTTCTGATGATTGGGGGGCGGGGAGCCGTGCTCGGGAGTTTTGGGGGTCTGGGAAGGGGAGAAGCTCACCGGACTCAGCGTTCGATTAAAACCTTTCTGCTGAAGTTGCCCGCGCCAGAGGATGGCACTCAGTCACCCTATTGCTCGACATGGTGAAATGCTATGATATGATAAAGTTCTCGGTCCTGTTTCAGATTTTTCGGCAGGTTGGTTTCCCGCTCCGTCTCGGGTGGATGGTCATTCAGACCTACCTGGCCCCTCGGAGAATCGATGCGTTCGGCTCGCTTTCGGAGCCATTTGTGTCGTTCCAGGGGATTTTGGCTGGATGCTCGGCAGCGACATCGATTATGTTGGCGGTGCTTCTGCAGCCAGTAAAGTTTGTAATTGAAAGATTTCCAGTCCAGGCTAAAACTTTAATGGATGATGTTTCGATGCACTGGGCTGGACCCGACCCTGAGAAAGGAACGGTGGTCCTTGCTGCGGCTCGGGAGTTATGCTCTCTTGTGCGTCCGATTGGCCTTCTTCTGCAACCCAACAAGTCAGGGTTTGTTGCCGCCAGCCTGGCCGCTTCCAAGCAAGTGGCAGTGTCGGCCAAGCTGATGGGCATGCGAGGCTATGAGCATATGCGAAACCTTGGTCACGATTTGTTTGGGCGGCGTGCTCTCCGAAAGGTGGAAGCCAAGAGGCGAGTTGCGCTGGTCAGGAGGAAGCACCGCATCCAGGTGCTTAAGAAATCCGCTGGGACCACGGTTGCTGGCTTGTGGCGCACAGGCCTCATGCCAAGTGGAGGCCACGGGGCCTCAGTTTCAGGTGTTAACAATAATACGCTCAGAACCCTCAGGGCCTTAGCTGGGAGCCTTATGGGAGCGGGTGGAGCGTCTCACGTCACGGGGTTCTTGTTCACGCATAAGGATCCCAGCTTTGACCCCATCGTTGATGCTACGATCCCGCTAGTGTTCAGGTATTGCCGCTGGGTCTGGGATCGTAGAGCGTCCGATTCTGATTTGAGAGTGGCACGTTCGACTGCTCAGGCCCGTTTAATAGATCGCCCCCATTGGAATCGTGCGCAGGGACCTGTCGGGGCGGTCATTTTGTCTTTGAGGAGAGTTGGCTGGGATCTGATTTCTCACCATCAGCTCCGGACTGACCAGTGTGAAATTATCTCGCTTTTCACCACTTGCCCCTGGGATGTCAAGCAGAGGTTGCGCGAAGGCATTAGCCGTGCCCAAGTGCGACAGATTTTGGAGGCTGTCCCCGAGGCTGGCGGTGATGAACCTGTCTGGGGGCGAGCTCTCCGATTAGGGATTCTTGCTGTGAAGGACCCCATCTAGGCAGGCGGCCCTGAGAGGCCTGATCAGTGGTAAGCTTTGGCCGCCAGCCAAGAAGCACAAACATGGCTACGCAGCCAGTCCTAAGTGTGAATTCGGGTGTGATGCGATTGGCTCTTTCGGCCATCAGTGGCACGAATGCAAAAAAGTTTGGGGGCCTGGTCAGGACCCAGAAGAGGCATCCATGTTCCCAGACGATGTGTTTGAGCATGTAAAATGGCTGCGCGACAAGGCTAAAGGAATCCCCCCGACTTCGACGCTCTTGAGTTGGCGTACGGTGTTCCTCTTCTTCCCCTTAGCATTGAGCCTGTCCCAGCCAGATATCCTCCCCAGGTTTGGGGTGCCACGAGCATGCTGTGGGGCTTTCAACTTTTTACGGATGGCTCTGGCCTTTCGAACGGTCTACCCGAAGCGTGTCGCTGCGGGTGGGCTGTTGTCGAGCTTAGTCCTGGGGGCTGGCCCAGTCGGGCTTTTTTTGGGCCCCTCCCAGGGGCCATCCAAACTGTGCCCAGGGCCGAGAGGTACGCGATGTTGCAGGCGGTTCGCCTGGGCCCGAGAAGTGTGGAAATTGTAAGTGATCACCTCTCGGCGGTGCATGAAGCCACTGCTTGGTCAGCCGATCTAGCCGAATGCAGCCATAAGCATGCGCGCATCTGGCGCGAGATGTTTCAGGTGTGCCCAGCAGGAGCCCCGTCTGATGATAGGCCACGGGCTCGCTGGACTCCTGCCCACGGAGATCTCGACTCCCTCCTCTTTGGTGAGCGTTCTCCGAGCCTGGATCGATGCGTGGACACGGCGGTTTTCGATTATCTGGGCAATATGTGGGCTGATTTGTTTGCTAAGTTGGGAGCGAAGCGGCACGCTGTAGCCAGCATCGCCACCGACACTCTGAAAGCTCAGCTGAAAGACGTGAAAAAAAAACGTGCCGTTTTCTGGGCCAGGTCGCTCAGTTTGTTGCGTCTCAGGCCGAACCCCCTTCCACGTCCTCGAGGCCAGGCCGTAACCCCATGGCCGTGCCTCAGCTCTCTCTGCTCGCTCACGACTTGGAGGTGGCGGAGGGGGGGGGGGTGAGGTGTACGTGGTGCCATTGCTCTGGCAAGACTGCGCTTTCTCGCGCTAAGCTGGAGCAGCCTGGCAGGAAGTGCGAGCCGACGCCGCTCCACTTATATCTGTCGGCGGCCAGGGCCGAGCGTCACAATGGCCTCCTTCCGAGGGCGCGCAGTGACGCGGTCCTTTCAGCGTGTCGTGAACTTGGGCTTACGTATGATGGCCTGCATGTGCAGGCTCTCGAGACTTTCGAGTATCGGGGCCATTGTGTGCAGGCCACGGACAAGTTTCTGCTGTGCCGCCGCTGCGGTGCTCGAGTATCCATTGAGGCCCCAATTTGGAGGGGCCTCGTGGCGGACTGCCGAGGCCCTGTGGAGAGGGCTTCAGTGCAGTCCTGGCGCATTGATGCTGCTCTCACGGGTCGCGAGGTTCGCTAGGTGTGGCGGGCCATGGTGGTAGGCGGCGGCTGGTGCCTGTGAGCCGCTTGCCACCACGGCCCGTGCCCTAGTGGCCTTCGGCCTGTGCGGTGGGCTGCGGGACCGTGACGGCGGGAATCCCGCGCCCCCCTTTTCCCTTGCCCGAATCGGATGTTGCGCCTCGGCCTGTTCCCTGTTCCCTCCTCCTCCTCCTCCTCCTTCTCTTTCTCCTCCTCCTCCTCCTTCTCCTCCTCCTCCGATGACTCGAGGAGGGGCCCCGAGACGTCGCAGAGTGGCGAGAACGGGGCCAAGGGCCTCCGAGGGAATGCCCGCTGTAGAGCAGCAGTGGGGCACTGCAGCAGTGGGGCACTGCCCAGGAGGAGCCGTCAAGTGCGCGCGCGTCTCAGCGCGGGTCTCTCTCGGATCGGCGCGTGCGTCCTTTGCAGGCCCCAGCGGCGCGCCCTGGCGCCGCCACGAGGGAGGGGCTGCTGACAGCCGGTGCCTGGGCACAGCTATCGTCCGCTGGTATCGGAAGAGGCCGGGGCTCCGCGCCCGCCAGCGATCCTGGCCAGCGGACATCCCTGGAGGCACCCCGAGGGGCGGTCTCTCGCTCCAGGGAAGGGGGGGGAGAAGCTAGGGAGGGCGCGATCGTTCGGAGGGCGCCGGCAGCGGCTCGCGCCGCCTCCGCGCGGCGGCGACGCCGGCGTGGGGGCGTTCTAAAGGCTGAGCACAGGGGCAGAGAGAGCCGGTACAATTGCACACCGAAGGACGGGCTCGAGGGCCTCTCGGGGGGCCTCCGGGAGCGTCAGTGCCTTCGGGGTGCTGAGCGGGCCGCGGGGTGTCCGAGACCAGAGCGCGCGTCGTCAATGGCGCCCTCCTTGGCCGAGGGGGAGGGGGGGGGGAGCAGGGGGGGGCGGGCTCAGCGGAGCGGTTTTTTGAACGTTTCACCACTCCTGTGCCGAAGCACCCTGTGGCTTGCAGGCCGTTTTTGAATGCCAGAATTTTTTTTGAAGGAGGAGGAAGAGGAGGAGGAGGAGGAGGAGGAGGAGGAGGAGGAGGAGGAGGAGGAGGAAGGAGGAGGAGGAGGAGGAGGGGGGGGTCCTGGCTTGGGGTGGGTGTCGTGGCCCGCAGCCAGGACGCGTTGACGTGCAGAGCCGTTCGGGCGGTGGCCTGGCCTGCTGCCTCCGCACGGCTCGCGGCACCCGCCGAAACCACCCCAACCCCGCCCGAAGGCCCCAAGGAGCCCTCCGTTCTCGCAGACCTAGAGGTTGGCACCAACACCAATATCGGCGGCGTGCCTCCACCGAGGGAAGAAGATCCCGATCTCGGTGATGGTGGTAATATTCCGGCTTCCAAGGCGACCGAAAGATCACCACCAACACCGAAACCCAGGATCATCTTACCCTCGTGGAGGCACCCCCCTGTGTTGGTGTTGGTGCCCATTTCCAGGCCTCCAACATTCCCAGTTGGGGGAGGGTCGTCAGGGAACATCGACACAGCACCCTTGCTCCTCAAGAGGAGGCCAGTAGTAATATGATCTTGCTTGCCAGCAGGCGCGCTCGTCTAGTCTCGCGGCATCGTTACTTTGACTGCTCGTCTGCGGTCCATTTGATCCAGTGCTTCTCGCCGAGGATAAAAAATGAGTCAAACCAAGCCTTAAGCAACACGATGGGAAATGCAAGGGAGCCCAATCAACTAAACGCACAGACAAATAAGATGTATTTGCCAGCGTGGACCCCCCCCAAAAAAACATTGAGGTTGTGCACCGTGGGTGTGCAAGCTGTGTTGTGGCAGCACCGTGGGGCTTGCTTGCGACACTGCAGAAGCAATCTGGTGTACGCTTGGTGGTTCGAGCTACATCGTGGAAGCAACGCGGTGGGAACCACGCCGTGTAGTGCGTGCCGTGCGATGCAGTGTATGCTGTGCAGCCCGTGTGGCGCAGGCTATGCGGTTCAACCTATGCGGTGCGAGCGGTGGGAGAGCGAGCGGCCCGCCACCGCCTCCCCCGGAACTGGCTGCAGCGGCCGCCTCCTCGTCCCCTCGGCCGCCGCCGCCGCCCGGCGCCGCCGCCGCCCCGAACAGGCCATGCCCGAGCGCCCACCCTCGGGTGCTGCTAGAAGCACCCCCTGGCCCAACGTGCCCTAGGATTCTCGGTGTGGCCCAGACGGCCTCCAAGGCACCCCTCACGAGGCCCAGAGGGCCCCAGGGGCTCCAAGCTGGAGCGGGAAGCTTCAGAGCGTGAATCACCTGCCCCGCTTTCGCTTCCAGGCGAAACCAAGTCACACCATACGCCTCCTCGTCAAGCGGCCTGACCAGTACATGACGTAGTTTGGCATCGCCTGGTATCTCTTGGAAGCGAGGGTGGTCAAAAGCGAGGCAGGTTTGTTTGCCCCCCAAAGCTAGGTCTTGGAAGCGAGGGTGGTCAAAAGCGAGGTAGGTTCGTTTGCCCCCGAAAGCTAGGGGCGCCTTTGGGCCAGGGGCACCTCCAGACTGCGCCCGACACCCGCGCGGGACGGCTCCCAAAGAGCCGCCCCTCCGAGGCCGCGGGCTCGGCGCCCGCCGCCGCGCGGCCCTCCCACGGCCGCACCGCCGGGCGCCTGATGCCTGGCATCGCTCGGACGTGTGCGTTTTTTTTCCTCGGCGAGGACCATCGAGGAGCGTCATTGCTCCTGTGGCGAGAAAGCCACGCACGAAACCGAACAAAAGCACAGGAAATGGACGTCCGAGCGAGGGCCAGGATGGGCCTGGAGATCCAGACGTTGCGGATGTTTCACGCCCCCACCAAACCACCCCAACCCAACGCGAAGGCCTCAATCTGCCCTCCATTTCCAGTGGGGGGGGGTCGGGGAACGTTGAAAAAACACATGGAACCCGTACCCCCCCCCAACCCGAACTTCGGGTCAAACTCGGGTCTGCGGGTTGGGTTGGGGTGGTCTGGTAGGTAGTCAAGACGTTGCAGATGTTTCACGCCCCGCGTTTGCGCCCGGTTGCGGGCCCCGGGTTTCCCCACAGACCAAACTGGGTCGAATGGTGCCGCAGGCAGATGGGGTCCGTGGGGCTCCAGTCTCGGAGGCCCAGAGGTTGACACCAACACCAAGATCGGCTGTAATATTCTGGCTTCCAAGGTGGCCGAAATATTACCACCAACACCGAAATCTAGGATCATCTTTCCCATGTGGAGGCAAACCCCTGTGCTGGTGTTGGTGCCAATTTCCAGGCCTCCAACAGTCGTGGCTTTCTCGCGGCGCCGCAGTCTTTCCGCGACGTCGAATCCCAGGGGGAGAGCTTCAGAAAGGGCGAGTCAGTATCGTTTAACCGACCCCTAACCCCATCCCCATCCCCATCCCCATCCAGACCCCCACCATCTCATCCCCCCAGTTGGGGATGCGTATACCCTTCAAATTTGACAGAAGCGGCCTGCATGCCCATATCTAGGGGGGGTAAACCGGCCAGTTGGGCCCCAGGCCACGCGAGTGGGGATAGGGATCGGTCAAGCGATGCTCAGCGAGCCCACGACGCACCCCGAGGCCCCCGAGGAGGAGCCTCGGCAGCTCGGCGGTGGCCTCCGCGCGGCGCGCGCGCCCGCGCAAGGGCCCTCTCCGCAGGGTCGGCCGCCGCGCCGCCGCGCCGGACTGCTCGAGGGCGGCCCGGGGCCCAGCTCGCCGCCGACCGCGCCGCTGGTGCCCCAAGGGGGGCCCCCTTCGGACCCCCCGCCGCCTCCTCCGCCTCCTCCTCCTCCTCCTCCTCCTCCTCCTCCTCCTCCTCCTCCTCTGGTTCCTCTGGTTCCTACCAAGAGGTGGTCCGCTCAGCAAACCTACCTCTACCCCGACTGGGGATCCAAACTCCACGGCTAACCCAGGGCCCGCCAGGGAAGGAAAAGAAAACCTGGCGCAGGCGAGGGTCCTGGGAGCTTCAAACACAAAACATTCAAACCCTGCTCACCGCAGCCCTCGAGACAGGAAAAGGGGTCCCGCCCCAGCGGGCGCCTGTCTGGGGATCACGCCCCGCCCGCAGACGTTCGAGGGCGCGGCGAGCAAGTCGTGCCGCGTCGCGGCTCTTGCGAGACAGAGGGAGGCAAGGATCGGCAATGAGCTTAGCCTGACGACTCCCATGCGCCCCACATGTCCGACAAAAAACGAGACACCCACCCATCCCAGAAGACTCCCGGCCAGACCCGTCCCCACCCCGAGTCACCCAAAGCCTATGGGATGGGTGGGACCTGGCGACCAGCCACGGGAGTCCTGGACAGGGGCTCGCAACGACCCTGGCCCTGGAAACCCTGCGGATCCCACAGGCACAGCCCCAGGCCCGCCCGAGCCTCGCCAGAACGTGGCCCCTGTCGGGCCTGACCAGAGCCAGCTCCCCAGGATCGGGACCCCTGGGCCCAGGGAGGGCCCCGCGGTCGGGCCACCCAAGGTCCGCGAGCCTTTTGAGGACCCCCCCGTGGTGGCCGCACCAGGCCACAGCTTTCTCCGTGGCGGCCAGCGCGGCGGCTCAGCTCCTGGAGCCGCGCCTGCCCAGGATGGAGCCTGGCACCGTCCTTGGCCAGCAGGTCGGCCTCCCTGTTGCCAGCGAAGGCCTGCCAGGACGTGCCCGACGCGCTCGCCCTGGCCCACGAGGAGTGCGAGCGCAGCCACCTCAGCGTGAGGAACTCCGGGCCAAGGTCGTCCAGCAGCCTCTACACCCGCCTCCAAAGATCGGCGTACTTGTACCCAGGGCCACAGCAATGCTCTTTGCCAGCCGCCAGGTCGTCCTTGAGCCCCTTGCAAAATCCGTGTAGACCGTGATGGGCGAAGGGCCCGCTTCCTCCAAGACACGGCACAGCGCGTAGAGCTCCGCGTAGCCGATCTCCTGGATCCACCCAGGCGTGAGGCCGAAGAGGCCGGCGACAACGTTCCCGACGTCATCTACCATCACGGCAGCCCAGCCCGTACGAGTCAGGCACAGGATGTCAGGGTACATCGCAGACCCATCGATGCAGATTGGCGCCGTATAGGAAGCCCTGTCTGGCGCGCCCTGCGCGGTGGCAGAGCTCCCCCATGCCTGGAGGCGGGGCCTGATCCAGCCCAAGGTTGAGGAGCCCTCTCACCATGCCCAGGTCGTCTTGCGGCGCCATCCTGCCTGCGTCGGCGATTTCCTGGAAGCCCAAGTCGCGCGCCCAGCAGGAGATGGCAGGGCACGTGAAGAGCCGATGGTGTGCCGTGCCTGGAGCCTCTCCGCACCACTGGCACAGCGGGCTGATCTCAGCCCTTTCCTCATGCAAGTCGCTCTGCGTGACGAGCCCTCCCGCCATGTGCGCCTCCACCAGCGCCGCCTCCTGCGTCTTGCCTGCTCGCCGCAGGCCCGCCAGCGCCGCCGTGAACGGCTCCAGGTCAGGCGGGCGGCCTTTGAGGTGCTCGAACCCGCTGTGGCGCGCGACCTTCAGCACGAGGTAAGGATGGGCCCCTCTCTCGAGGAGGCTGGCCACTATCCGCGGGCTGAGAACCTGCAGGTCGATGATCTGCCCTCGGTCGCCCCTCCAGCGATGCCAGTCCATCATCTCCCAACCAGTGCGCTCCAGCGAGAGGCGGACCGCCCCCGCTGGCCCCGCGACCTCGCCCCAGTCGCCCGGCCTGCGCTCCAGCACCTTCTTGAAAACCGCTGGCGGCCGCGCGCGCGAGAAGATGGGGCGAGCCCAGGCCCTTAGCGGTAGGGCGCGCGCCGCAAAGGCTGTGTCGTGACGCCAGTCCTCGCCTTCCTGCAGGGCAAAGAGGACTGTCCTGGACTTCTGGCCGACCTCGCCCGAGATGGCCCTGCTGATCGCTCTGGCGCGCTGCAGGGACTTGGTGGGCACGCCGCTGACCCACGCGCCATGGAGGATGGACGCTAATCCTCCCGTCCTGAAGACCTTGGAGAGTCGCTTGGCCCCAGCCTTGCGGAGCGCCCTGTACTGCCCCGCCCTCTGGCCCAGGCGGTTGATCCTCTGACGCAGCACCTTCCAGGAGGCCGTCTTCGACATAGCGAAGTCCACGCCCAGGTCGATCTAAGAGTCGGTGCACAGCACCTGGCCCCTCGTCAAAGAGATGGAGAAGCCAATGTCCTCCAAGTCCAAGCAGAGGGCGCGGGTGGCGCCGACCAAGATGTGCTCGACCTGCGCGCGCTTGGCGTAGACTGCCAGCGTAATGTCGTCGACCACCAAATACGGGCGCACCATCTGCCAGGACGCCAGCAGCGCGTCGAGGGGCTTGACCAGCACCACTCGAAGTAGCGACGCGGCGAATGAGCAGCCCGCCGGCAGCGACAGGGAGACCTGGAACGTCTCCGTCTTCCAACGATCCAAGCAGAGGCGTCCCCTGCCCCCGTAGAGCCGAAGGAGGATCTTGATCCTCCGCAGCGGGAAGCCCTCCCTCACCGCGGCGTGGACCGTCCCTCGATGAGACACCCTTTCGTAGGCCTTACTCAAGTCCAGGAGCGATGACGCGCCCTCCAAGTTCAAAGCCTTGGCGCGGTCCGCGTCGAAGCTCTGCAGCCAAACCGCGTCCTCGCAGGAGCGCCCTGCCCCGCCGAAGAAGTAGGGCCTGTCCCTGGCGGCCCCCCAGCGCTTCGCCTCGTCGTGTCTGACCTTCCCCAACAATCGGATCAATGAGGCGATCAGGCCGATGGGCCGCCAGCCCCCGTCGGCCTTGGCCAGGAAGAAGATGAAGACCTCGACCACCTGCGACGGGAACTCCGTCCTCAGTTCGATGAGGTGGAGCAGCAGGCTCAGGGCGAGGACGCCGTGGTCCGAGAGCCAGCCGAAGTGGTGCGGCTTGAGGCTGTCCACCCCCGTCGCCGCTGCGGCCTTGAAAGTCCTCGCCGCCGCTCGGATGGCGCCGGGCGAGGGCGGGCCTGGGGCGTCATCCAGAAGCTCGTCAGGGAGCGCCGCCTCCAGGTCGAACTCCTCAAGCTGGTGTCGCCACACCTGCTGGTACTCCGTCTTCAGCGCCTCCAGAGCGCCGGCAATGCCCGCGGGTTGCCCGCTGGTCTCCACGTCAGCGGTCCACCCCCGAGGAGCGCGGCAGAAGCCGTGGGCGGCTCCTGCGCCTCCACGCACCGCCTCCTGGGCCCAGGCTCTCCAGGCCTTGGCGCGGCCCTTGGCCTCCCTGAGGTCGAACGCTTTGGCGGCCTGCCTAGCGCGGCCCTCCAGCGACCTCAGCTGGCAGTAGGTCGCGGCGCCCGTCGCGCGCAACTGGCGCCCAAGGCCCTTCTGCCTGCTCGCCTTCTGGGCCTCGTTCAAGCCGATGTCGCCGACCAAGTCCTGCGCGGCCAGCCAGCCGAGCTTGGCCTGCAGCCTTGCCAGCGAGGCCAGCTCCCTCGGGGCGCGGTGCGGCGCCCGCAGGCGGCGCCTGCTGGCCAGCGCTTCCCAGAGTAGCGCCGCGATCATGCGCCAGGCTCTCGCCTGCGGGGAGCCTCTGGCGTAGGCCCTGCGGCAGCTGGCGCTGATGGTGCCCTCCTGGAAGCGGGCTGGCTCTCATCGTCCCGCATGCTTCCGCAGGTCCTCCTGCTCCATGTCGAAGCAGCCGCGCAAGTCCTCCTCGAGCAGCGCCGCAAAGCTGGCGTAGAGCTCGTCCAGCGTCCGAGGCGGCGCGCCTGGGCTGCCCGGCGGCCTCCCCGGCGGCCTTCCCAGCGGCCCCGCGGGCGAGGTATTTTTTGAAATAAATACTTTTGGTTCCTGGGCTGCCCGGCTGCCCGGCTGGCGGCCCCCGCGGCTCATCGCCCAGCGGCCTTCGGCCCTCGGCCTGGGGGTCCTCGCGGGGCCCCAGCGATTGCGATTGCCTCGCGCCAGCGCCCTCGCGCCAGGATTGATTTCCGCCGGCCGCTGGGCTCCTCGCGCCGCCCCCGGGGGCCAGAGGACCACCACCTCCTCGTGCGTCGAGGGGGGCGCGGCCTCCCCGACCTGCTCGACCTCGGCAGCTCCCTCGCCCGCGGCGTCGCATGGCTGCAGCTGGTCCTCCCCGCCTGCCTGTCCAGCATGCCCGAACGCGCTCTCCGCCCTGGCAGGCGGGGGCGAGTCCAGCACGTCGCCCTGCAGGGAGTGGACCACCATCGCCCAGTCCTTGTCGTAGCACCCACGCACTTCCCGCAGCGCCTCGGCCGAGGCCGACGGTGGCATCAGGATGGGCGGCCCCGGGATGCTCGGCCGCGCGCCCAGGCCCTCGGCGCAGGCAAGCACGATGCCACTAGCCCCCGAGGCGCTCTGTCCAGCAGGGCAATTTATCGCAGGCTGCCCCCAACTGCCTGAACCACATCGTGGATCCTGGGGGGCCGCTCCCAACGGGACTGGCCCTCTCGCCACCTTCCAGGTCGAACGCCCCGTCCGCGCCCGCAGCGCCCGCGTCGGCAGCGAGGCCAGCCACGCCAGCGCCTTCGCCAGCCGAACCAGCTGGGCTCTCGGCCCGCACGGCCGCGCACGCCTCGCCCAGGCCCAGACCGCCATGGAGTGGACGACGTGCTGCCCCTGGCTCGGGGAGGGGCTCGAGGTGCTCAATGAGCTGCTCCTCAGCAATCCTCCGAACACCGCCGCCACCCCGCATCCTCAAGTCATCCACGTTCGCGTCGACCCCCGGCGGGCCTCGGCCGCCATCTGCGCCGCAGGGCACAGCAGCTGCGATGGCGTCGGCCAGGTCTTCGAGCAAGCCAGTCCAGCATGGCGGCTCGTGCCTCGGCCCCGCCGGCCTCTCGGCTGGGAAAGCCCTGGGCGCCCGATGAACCGAGGCCCGTTCAGG